GGTGCGCCTTATGTGTGTGTTAAATACAGAAATGGCACACATAACTGAGACTGCGCCTTTTAGTACGGTGCGCCTTATGGTCGTGAAAATACGGTATATCTGTGCCTTCCTGTTATCCCCTCATCTCTCATGCTCTCTTTAAACTCAAGCATTATGTTAACTTGTGACATAAAGAATGATTTCCCTTTTTAAAAGCCTCCAAATCCCTCTAAGCAATCCTTAAACACTTCACCGATAATGAAACTAAACTGAACAATACTAAACAGCTCAGCTCAGGTTTCTATCTGTAAATGAAAACATAGATGTTTCCAAACGGCTGACTCTTAATCTGAATTACATAATCTCCGAATAGTCATAATCCAGGAAGAGTGACTCATTTGAAAAGTGTTTACTGTAGTAATAAATTGAGTGCATGGTAAGAGTCATTGTTGCCCTAATCTTAAAATCTGAATTGCTTTAGTCTAATAAAGAAGTGCCGACTATCTGGATGAATGGTAACGTTGCTGTTGTTTATATACTGTTGGAACAAGTTAAGGCATTTTTCATTCATTTCAACCTGAAGTCAAAGATGATTCTTTCTCAGCCACACTGAGTTTTGCGTTGGTTCATAATACCAAAGCGTGTAGAGCTTAATACATCACGAGCTCATCTGTTGTAGCATCATCCAGATCAGTTAATCATCCGTTGGCTTGACGTGGTTACAAATATTTCAGATGCGGCCTGAAAATTGACTAATTTTCATCTGTCCTTCACAGGTGATCACCCCGTTCCGTAAATTAATGCTTTGTGCCGAAAACAGGAAGGAAATGGAGGACTGGATCACAGCGCTTAAGTCGGTTCAAAAATGGGAAACCTATGAAGTGAGTGTCTCTAACCTCTCAATGGGTTTCCAGTTTTATTTGTTTCAATAACTAAAAACTTTCATCTTTTGGTCCAGATTTGATTAGATTTTTTTCAACGCCTCTCTTGCTGATTAGTGTTCCTTGATTCATTTCTGCTTATTTATTTTTCAGAATAAAATTTTATTCCTAGCAGGGTCAGTTGGACCCATAAAGTAATTATCCTCTATCTTCTGCATGGCGCAGGCCAGTCAGTTCAACATGGAGCATTTCTCTGGGATGCACAACTGGTACGCCTGCTCGCACGCAAGACCGACCTTCTGCAACGTCTGCAGAGAGGCCCTGCCAGGCGTCACCTCCCACGGCCTGTCCTGTGAAGGTGCACACTCGCTCACACTTTTAGGAGGCTGCACTTTGATTCTGCATCCATGCATACATTAGAAGGAAGCTGAAGCTGTCTTGGTCTGTGTTAGCAGTGAGGGCATTGCTCATGTACCTACAGACTTAATGTTTTTCTATACATCATACTATGTTATCATTATATTATGTTAAAGATTTTTTTTTTTATCATTATTTGGAGCCTTAAATCCTCTGCTTCCAGGCAAACACAATTTTATTGCAGGTTTGACAAAAGAATAGTTGCGTTCCTGCGTCATTCATATCAGCAGGGAAATCTGAACCCGTCCATAAAACATTTTGAAGTTGGGTCCCGATAAAAACCTATTTTTTTTAACTCTGTTAAAATTCCTGAACAAATTCCAGAATCCTGCACAGAACTAACGAAGCAAACACGCTGTGATTCCTGCCAGAAAAGGTAATAATCCGTAGCTGCAGAGAGGAAGAAAAACTCTAACAAGTTTGTCAAGTTCCATTTCTTCAGCAATGATTAAACACCGATGCCCACGGTTATTCATTTCTAAAGTGCTCTACTTTTAAAAGCTCCCCTAGCTTCTGGCTTGAATAGAATAGATGTACTTATTTTAGCCTCTAAAATCAGTTCACATTGATTAATTAAGCCTAAACTAGCTTTAAAAATGGACGCCAAGTGATTTCTATCTGCATTGTTTTTCTTATTAATTTGAAAACTATTCATACGTATTTAATGGTCATCCTTTCATTACGTAATTTGATAGAAGTATATACGTATATGTTGGTATTTAGTATTAGTTGGCCTTTTCTGCGAAGAACTAAAAGATTAATTAAAGAAAATAAGCAAACAGAGTGCTCAGCAATAAAGTTGTAGGGAGGTTTACAGTAGAATTAGGTTATAAAATAAAACCCCAGGTTGTGGAAATCTCACAGAAGACTGTCCAATCCATCATTTTGCAGGAAGAGAATTAATCAGAAAAGCAGCCAAGGGACCCGTGGTCTGCAAGATCTACGAAGATCCGCTGCTCTGTGCACTAAATGAGTTTAGCCTTTTTTTAGAAGATTTACACAAGAACAAACATTCCTGAAAGGAAACCATAAGAGGTCACACTGCAAAAACGAGCTAGAAACAAGTAAAAAAAAATCTTAAGTGTATTTACCCCTTATTTGAGTAGTAAATAAGATGATTTGCCAATGGAATAAGTATTTATACTCTTAAAATAAGAAAATTAGATCATATTTACTTGAAATAAGAAAAGACCTCCTCAATTCAAGAGAAAATGACTTATTTAGATTTAAATTTTTTGCAGTGCACGTTTCAGCTTGGTACAAAGCATAAAACCAACATTTTAACTAAGCTGCTGTAGTCAAAAAAGGACCAAAATGGAACATTTAAAGGTTATGTAGAAGTGTTTTGTGTGGCAGGAAACGAATACTTTGCATTGCTACTGTTAAACATGGTGATGGCAGCATCATGCTGGAGTTTCTCCAGCTGGAACACTGTTGGATGCTTCAAATTGATGGAGAAATGGATGGAGCCAGATACTGGGCAACCTGTGGATTTTACTGCCCAGTCAGATAACAATGCTAAACATACTGCCAGAGATAATAGAGCACACTAGTTTAGATTAAAGTTTGCTTTTAAGTCTTGGATGTTGAGGTTCACAGACTTCTCTAACCAGTTTAAAACCTATACGTCACTTTACAGTAATGCATAAAATCCCTACAAAATGATTCGGTAATAACGATATTTTTGCGAGTAGGAAAAACTTTGGAAACTGAAACTTTTTTCTACTTTTCATGTTTTTTTTTTTGCAGTTTGCAAGTTCAAGGCTCATAAGCGCTGTGCAGTTCGCTCCACCAACAACTGCAAATGGACCACACTGGCCTCTATAGGAAATGAGATTATTGAGGATGAGGATGGGGTGAGACATTTAATCCTAGAAATATCTAACTTGTTCTTGTTGGAATTCTACTTTCCTCGATTCTTTTCTTTCAATTTCTATCAGCAACAGAAAACTAGAGCTATGACACTATGTGGTATAAACGGCTAGTTCCATATTCCTTTAGCAAAGGGAACTTATAAATAACAATCCATTCATATTTTTGGATGTTTTCAGGTGTCTATGCCACACCAGTGGCTGGAAGGCAACCTGCCTGTCAGTGCCAAATGCGTGGTGTGTGACAAGAACTGTGGCAGCGTGCGGCGGCTGCAGGACTGGCGCTGCCTCTGGTGCAAGGCCATCGTGAGTGGGATTGATTTCAGCCTCCTTCCTGTCAAAACCTGTCATTTCAAATCAGTCTTGAAAGTTATTTAGGGCAATGCTAAAAAGCTAAAGTTATTCTTAGTTTAAATTAAGTTGAGATCATACACACCATCATAGAGACTTTGCAGTTTAGCTTCATAAGACGTCAGAATCTGTGTTTTTTTTCTGTTTCAACCAACATTAGAACCTGTTAGAGTTTCTTCCATCACATTTTCTACAAGAAAAATGTTTTCATCTTCTAGCAGCTTCCAATATAAATAATCTGTTAGTACAGAACTCCATCAATGCAATATAAAAAGGAATAAAAAAGAAACAGTTTCTGAAGAACATTTGTTTTGTTATTAATGCCACAAGATATTATGACACTATTTACATAATGAGAAATCTCCTTTTCCTTAAAGTATTAACTAATATATTAGTTGAGGTAAGAATTAATGAAGGAGAACAGGCCGTGTGGCAAACAAACATTATTATAATTGCTTAGATCTGCTCCATCCTTTATATCTAGACATTATTTTTATTCAATTCAGTAAAATCTGGGGTTAAAAAGGCTTGCAGGTTTGCTCACACTAAACTGCTGCTTTGTTATATCTATAACACAAAGTCACTGATGGATAATAAGCTTCTGAGTACATCAGATTTGGGGCTGATCAGATTTCAGGGTCGTTTTATCAACAGTTGCTTCTAAGATCATTGGATCTTCCCACCGCGCCGGCAGCAGTCATGCAGTTATCTTGCCGAAAGGTTTTAACAGAATCTGCCACTGGGAGACAGAGTGCCAGGCTTTTACTTTCCTCCACTTCCATTAGGCGAAAGCTTGGGATGGAGCACATTGACCCTCAACACAAAGTCCGGTTCTCAATGCATAAAAACACTGAGAGCCACAAGCACAAATGATTCAGAGTGGCATTTGTAAAGGTTACAGAACTGGCATTTGGTGGGTTTCAGTGGGATGTAACGACCTTTCTCCCACCACTGAAATCTGCAATTACTGTGTCCACAAAAAAACTCCCTCCACATGTGTGTGTGTGTGTGTTTTCAGGTGCATAGCAGCTGTAAAGAACAAATGGGGAAGGTGTGTCCCCTGGGTCAATGTCGAGTCTCAATCATTCCACCCACTGCACTTAACAGCATCGACTCAGATGGTGAGACGGCACCCACGCCCACTCGCCCACCCACACACCCTACTTTTCCACATTCTATTGAACTGACAGTGGGGGGGGGAGCAGAGGAATGTAACCGTTCCTGTCTAAATGCTGGGAATGCAGAGCAGGTTGAGGTCAAGAACCAAGAACAAAGCTTTTTTTGTGCCGCTAAAAAAACTTCCTGGTTAATAATCTCTAGAGCTTAAAGAATTATTTGATGCAATATAGCTGTAGATTCTTCATTTTTAACATAACTTTGTTTTTTTTATACTCATATGCAGCTTTCTAGACAGAAATTGATCTAGAATTAGAACATTAAGGTACAAACTACAGAGAAGAGAAACTCTGTTTGATTAAAACTTCTATAAGATCTATGAACATTTTTTCTTTCATGAGTAAAATCTATTTTTATTTTACTTTTACAGATTTTCTAAAAACCGCTTTTCGGTCAAAGAGTTTTTTCTCTTTGCGACACAAGAAATCTATAAGTACAGTAAAATCCTGCATCGTCATCATGATTTATTTCGAGGTGGAAATGTCAATTGAAAATATTCAGTACATAAAAATGAACGTGTAACAGGTTATTTTTCAATTCAATTCAGTTTATTTATATAGCGCCGATTCACAACACAAGTCATCTCAAGGAACTTTACAGTCCCTAAAAAAAGTGTAAAGAGAAAATTGTATTTATTCCCACACCTTTCATTTCTAAAAAGGCTGTTTACAAACATATCTGCCTTCCATCAAGGTTGATAAAATAAAAAAACTGTATAATAAATGAAAAACTATTGTGATTTTCTTTTATTCTCAAAGGAAACCTTTTTTTTTTAGTTATTTTCATTTTTCCTTAATATTATACAAGCACCAGTAAATGTATATGTAGAGTATGTGAGAACATTAAACTACCCTTAAAAAGGGGCCCTGTCACATATTATGAGTTTCTTTTTTTTTTTTTTTTTTAGTTTTTACAACTAGTGGCTCGTTTTTTTCTTCAGTATTACTCAATATTGTTAAGTATTAGGCTATGTTTCCATGGCAACCTGAGGTGACACAAGTAGGATTTATTTTTTTGCCAATTTTCGACCTGTATCTGATCTTTTCATTACATTCTGAACAACACAGATCAGATTTTTTTCAAATGCGAACCAGGTCTCTTTGCTAAATCTGAACCTGTACCTCGTTAACTCTCGACAAATATCACTGTTCCGCTTCTTCCTGCGCAGAGGCTGAAAGAAAACCAACAATCAAGGTGGATGATAATAGGGAGAGCAGTCTTTCTTTTTGATGTTCTTGCAAACATTGCGTTATTATCGCGTTGGAAAAGAAATGATTGAGAGATTGCAATATACGCTCCAGCACTATCATCCGTGTTTATTTCCCTAAATACAGAGCAATATCGCTACTTGTGCATGCAGGACACTTAAGTTGCATGAATGCAGTTAACATAGCAGATCACATGCAAGTCGGAAATATTTCGAAAAGTGGACGATCACAGAAAACAATCTGAAATAAAAGGGAATGAGCATTAAGGCCTGCAGTGTGAACCTAACCTAAGATGTTTCAACCATTCACTGATTTACTATAACTAGGCAGGAGCCTTATTGTCAAGCTTGATGTTTAAGCAACAGGCATCTTTCCTGTATTTAGTTTATTTTCCCGTTATTTTGTAAATTCTGGTTCTCAGCTCTGCCTCCAGCTCTGCCTCCATCCAATAGCTTTTCCAGCGTTTTGTGTTTCCTCTTAATTCAGCTCTGTTTTTTTAAACTTCCACACTAAAGATTGTTTTTGTAAGTTCTACTTAATAGCACTCAGTATGATGTGTTCAGGATTTTACTTTTACAAGCTGATTTTTTTTTTTTTTTTGTGTATCAACAGTGCAGATATCTTCTCACTCTTTTAAGTATAGTTTTTCGGTTGTTTTTAGATTTTTTTTTTTCTTTAACTCCTAATTCTTGATGATCAGGTTTCTGGAAGGCCACCTCTGGATCCTGCGCCAGCCCCCTGCTCGTCCTGGTGAACTCTAAGAGCGGGGACAACCAGGGCGTCAAGTTCCTCCGCAAGTTCAAGCAGCTCCTGAACCCGGCTCAGGTCTTTGACCTAATGAATGGAGGACCGGAGCTGGGGTGTGTTTTTGTTCTCATAGCCCTCACGTTTAAACCCTCCATGTCGATCTTCTCATGCCATCTCTCTCTTTGCTCGCAGGCTGCGGCTCTTCCAGAAGTTTGTAACATTTCGTATTCTGGTGTGCGGGGGTGACGGCAGCGTGGGCTGGGTGCTCTCCGAGCTGGACAAGCTCAATCTCCATAAACAGGTGAGAAACAAGGAGGAGAGGAGGAGGAGAGGGCAAAGGGCAGGTTGGTAGAATATTCTTATGCATAATAAGTCTGTAAAAAGTGCTGACGGGGCAGAGAAATCACCCACATACCCGATGGAGTGGAATACAAAGAAGATTCACTTTTATACGTCGGTAAATTCATTTCACACCTTTCAGCTCGATTCGATAAAACTACAAAGTGCTGCTCAGAAATGTGCTTCCTTTCTAAATGTTAGGTGATAGATGAATCATCGGATGACAAAAAACTTCAATCGATTTCAGAGAAAGAGGTTTAGCTGTCAAGTTCAGGTAGTTTGTATATTTTTATAGTTCACCGATTAAGAGAAATACACACAGGTTCTACTCTACACATTGTCACCTAAGACATTTGAGGGGAATAAAATAATTATGTTAATTTATTGCATAAAAAATACTTTTTTAGATCTTTTTAAAACAAAACTTTTAAATGAACCTGACATATTGCATAATTATTAATATGATATAGCTTATTTAATTAAAATACATAACGGTCAGGCTTATGTATTTTGAAGTAATAAGGTAAACTTGATCAAAATTTATACTAATAATTTAATTTATTTCAAAAGCATAAAATGTATTTGTTGGAATTGCATAATAATCCGGTTAGCTTTATATAAACGTTATATATTTAAAACAAATACATTAATAAGTGTTCATTTTGATCAGTATATACCTTATGTATTCAGCGTATATAAACTTCAAATTCAATAATGAATTTGCAGCTTGTACGTGTATTTAAAAGCTTTTTAAAATGATCTAAAAACAAATAAATTGGATTTCGTTAATAAAAAAAATTTATTCAATCTTTACATTTGGGTGAATTATTTTTGTGACTTTAGGCATCAATGCTGTCCTGGTATAATTCTGGCTGAATATTGGACCTTGCTTCCTATTAGAATTAGTGGGGATGATTTAGATTGGATGTCTTTTATCCACTTTACACTTTTCTTAAGAGATTTGGTAAAAAAAAAAAAAAAACCTTCAGAACAGATGCATTAGCCTGTTTTATCCAACCCTAACTCCCTTTTCAAGTGTATTTGATGATGCACAGGTAAACTGTCCCTTTGTTTGTTTATGAGAAGTTCAAGAATATGAAAAGTATAAAAAATAAAAAAAACAGTTAAAAAACAATCCACTGGACTTGGTTTCCTAGTTTGAAGACGTTTCGCTTCCCATCCAGGAAGCTTTTTCAATTCAAAATGTCTGAAATAGCGTTGAGTTTGAGGTTTTATACAGCAGCCCAACAAAACCTTGTTTTTATGTTTAAAACATCAGGGTTTCCACTGGTCATTAAAAGTCATTAAATTGTTATTTTTTAAAATAAGGCCTTTATTGGCATTAAAATTCATCAAATGTGTTTATTGTGGCATTTAAAATGCTTTCTTAAAAAAAATTTTTTATAAAAACTATTTTGTCAGACGTATTATATCACGATATATTTGCGTGGAACCGCTTCCAGTTGATCGCAAAGACGTATGTTCGGAAAAGAAGCTTGAGTCAGAGAAAAAGCTAGAGAATGGGGAACAATGCCAATTTCAACTAAAGTGGTTGGAAAACGAGGAATTCGGGGCATGGCTGCAGCCTGTTGATGGCTACCTGTTGGTGGCATTAAAATAATTTCTAGGAGCATTAAAAAGCATTAAATTAGAGTAATGCATTCCTGTATAAACCCTGAACATGCAAATTGGAACAAAGGGGTCCACCCCTTTAGAATGGGGGTCATTTGGCTTCTTTTGTTAGACTGCAATCCCCCATAGCCATCTAAGTGTCTTAAAGGTTGGTGGCTTGAATTGAAAAAGCGTCCTGGATGGGAACCAAAACGTCTTCAAAATTGGAAACAAAGTCCGCTGGATTGTTTTAAAAAAAAAATTCCGACCTGGATGACTGAGAACCTTCACCAGCAATATGGAAAGTAGTTTTCCTTCCTAAATTTTGTGCAGTTTATTCAATAAATCAGTACTAAAGTACCAAAACTGCTCACAAAATGATGCAGGCACCAATGTAGTTAACAGCAGGTTTAAAAGCCTCACCTTTGACTCCCACAAATGCATTTCCATTCCACTATGTTAGTCATGTATCTTCCAGGACATGATTGTTCTTAAACGTTCTAACCCATTTTCAGGCAGTTTGGTCCAGGTAGTTGAGGCCTAAAAGCTGCCAATCCATTTAACTTAAGCACAGATTCTGAGAGGGCAAAGAGATGTTTGTTGTTTTATGTTTACTATCAGTGGAAAGAAAGGAGGCTGCAGCAGCCCTGGCTGTGTAAGCCAATTGTTGTGCTATTAATTAAGCCATATTAATGCTGTTCCACAGCTGCACTGATATGGTTTTAATTTAGGATTAGCCTTCTGTTAATTGATAATTAGCAGCATGTGAAATGAGATTTGAACCACCTTAAATAAACATAACTGATCAGCGTCTAAGCCTAATTTCACGGCGTCTCCTCAGTGTCAGCTGGGAGTTCTTCCCCTGGGAACGGGAAACGACCTGGCTCGCGTTCTGGGCTGGGGAGGCCTGTGTGACGACGACGCTCAGCTGCTGCAGATCCTGGAGAAGCTGGAGAGAGCCACCACCAAAATGCTGGACCGGTAAGAACCGGGATGTTTAACGTCATTCCTGCAGGTCAACGACAGGTTACGTCCACAGTGACCCGGCTTGTGTCATTTTTTATGACTCATTCTTTCCAATAAAATGTAAAAGATAAGAGAATCTCTTTGCAGATGAGTTTAAGGTTACCCGTGAGGGAAGGGTCATGGTTATCTGATGCCACAAGCTGTTGGAGAGATGACCTTCTAAAAAAATTGATAAGAAAATGTTATTTTTTTATTATTGCTATAATAATCAGTAGACTGGAACGATCCAAACTATTGAACTCCACCCAAGTTCAAAGCTTCAGAGCAGAGCAGCTGGTTCCAGTTAAAGCGTTACACTGTTTGAAAAAATCTTTTTAGTTTTTTGTTACACAAAAAAAATTTGTAGAACATCCAACCTTGTATTTTATTGTCATTTTTAAAAAAATTTTATTTATAACTGCCTGTTTGAAGTTCTCAGAGTGTCGAGTAGTCCTTGACTTTAGTGGCTAATTTTTTTATCTTCATTTTAAAATCAGTCAAAGTTTATTTGTATGGCACTTTAGAACAACAACAGGAATACCAAAGTGCTTCACAGAAAGATAAAAACATTGTAAAAAAACAAAAAAATCCTGAGCATAAATCATTGAATTCTAAGTATTAAAAGCCATTTTGAAAAAAGAAGTCTTTAATCCGGACTTAAAAGGGGGGCAGATCTGTGAGAGCCTGCAGAACGAGATGCAGGCTGTTGTTTAGGTGCGGTAACCACAAAGGAACCATCGCTCCACTGTTTATACGAGATCTGGGAACATTCAGAACCATCTGATCGGTAGACCGGAAGCTCTGCTGGGGCGATCTACGCTCAACATCTCAGTTAAACATAACAGAGCAAGACCATGAAGGACAATTATGAAAATTTTAAATTTAAAAGATAATAGAACAGGGTTATCAAAAAAAGCCAGATGAGGAGGTATATTTATTAGTGTTGCACAGATGCCATTTTTTGGCCCTGATATCTGGCTGTGCCGATACCGATACCATCTGTTTGGAATTGATATGTGTGTGTATGTATGAAGAACTGCATACTACTTGGATGTAAAATAATTGCCATCATGGCTTTGTCAAGCTGCTGCCTACCTTTGTGAAGCAGGAAAATGACTAATACAAAGTGAACTTTTTATTACCTACCTGGAATGGGTGACAATAGTTGAATAAACTTATGGCTATCAAAATGGTATCGTGCCCTATTTGTTGGTACTCGCAGATACCGATATCACCATTTTAGTGCTGGATCGGGGCCTCGCCTGATACTAGTATCTGTATCGGTGCAACACTAATATTTATTAGTAACTAAAAGGTGTAAACTTGGCCATATTAATGGGGAAATAATTTGAAAGTTAAAGGTATGAAGAACGATCTTTTATTTCTAGGTGGATCATCTTAATAAGCGGTCCTCCTAATTGTTAATCATTCTGGTGATATATTTATGTAAGACCCTCTACGTGCTCGTCCCGTTAGCTATATATTTTGCGGATGCACACTTTCAGGAGTAAATGTGTGGTGAGATATGGTTTCAGACAGTCATTGAAGCTCACCTTTCTCACCGCGGTTCTACAAAGTATATGAGAAGAAAAGGAAGGCCCCCGAAGAGGCAGATATATCCCAGAACACTTTGTGCGGAGAGTTCTCCTCCCCAAACATTACGGGATTTGCTGTCACCAAGGCCAGCTGTCAATAGCCTGGCGCTACCCGACATAGGCGACTAATAACAAAGATGGCGCAGTGCACCGTAGTGGACCAATAGGGAAGTGATCATCTGTCCGAACAGTAAGTTAACTGAGTTCAATATAAAGTTTGCAATCTATATAGTGATTGAGGGATTTAGGGGTTAGGGCGGACGTTCGGACATAGTAAGCCTGTTTGAGCTATGAGAACAGCAACTTTTAAACAGGGCGTGCATGAGAAGAAACGGGCTCGTGCACGCACTCGCATGCGCATTTTTATATTTTTTTTAAGTGGAGAGTGAGGGTCTTTTAAAAAATTCGAGAAAATCCTCCAAAATACCTTTAATAAGGCTTCTGTGACAGGGAGTAAATTTAAGGTATTACTTGCTCATTTGTCGTCTTATAATCGTGAAAGTGAATTAACATACCTTAGAAATACCTGAGGGATCATGCTGACTTCCAAACAAAGGGACATTCTTCAGCCATTTAAGTATCAAGCATGCTGACTTAAGGGAATCATCTCAGATTCAACTGTTGAATGAAGTCGGATCAAGTTTATCACATTGCAGTGAGGTTTACGTTTAAAACAGATGTTATTTAATGGAGAAAAAAGGTAATTTTAGAATGTCCTTTCCTGAAAGAAACATTTCTTCCTATTTCGTTGAAGTGCAGTGGAAATATGCTGAAGTGAAGCAATGCAAAAAGATGACGCATTAAAGATAATGACACCAGGTTGGGTTCAGAAAAGAGCGGCGCTATTTCAGACCTTCTTTCTTTGTCTTCAGAGTTCAATTTTTCAAAGTTTTTTTAACTTGGATTTATATGAAAAACGTTCCTAATAAAAGCAACAAAATTAAATTTTGCAATTCGAAATTGGGCTTTTTTTGTCCGTTGTTCTAAATCTTTGTCTTTTTTAATAATGCAAAAAAAAAAAATCATTGTGAAAACATAACGTAGGACTTTAAGAATCTATATTTTTAACTTGTAGCATGAATTAAAAAAACTATACCAAAGGTAAAATACTTTTAGTGACCAATAAAACTGTTTTTTTTTATTCTTTGCAACAGATATTTAGTTTTAGAAATAAAGGACATGACTAAGTCAGTGATGACAGCAGGTTTCTAGTGAGCTTGAAGAAAACATTGTTTGCTCCTAGTTTCAACTGCTGTCAAGTTTTTCTTGATCTCCTGTCGGCGGCATCAGACACTTGTCTTTCAATCCCCCACCGCTGATAAAATGTTTCCCGTTAGGCTTATCAACGCTGTTTATGTTTTCAGATGGAGCGTGATGACATACGAGGTGCCCCCGACCGGTAAACAAACGCCGACAGGGAAGGAGGATGACAGCCACGACTCTCCTCTGCAGGTAAATTAGCCTGCAGCACTTTGAGGAGGCTCTCTGCTTTCCACAGATAGCATCTATGAAAACAGAGCCCAGAAGAAGCAAATAGAAGCCAAGACAATCGGACTGAAAACAGAAAAAATAGATTAAAAAAAAGCACTCTCTGCTGCAAATATGAAGGAGATAATTTAGAAACATGTTTATGTTTACATGATTCCTCTTTTAGAGTTGTTGGGAAAGCATATTTAAATGTCAAATCATTCTAGCTTAAACATTCACATAAATGTACTCTTTATCAGACGATATTGTCCCAAAATTTCTGGTTTTAAAAAAATCCTGTCTTAAAATTTGTGTGGGTTTTTTTTTCCCGTTACTTTAAGCAGCCCAGTTAGTTATACATCAGCTTGTATACCTTAATTCGGCCAATCATATATCAACGGTCATCTTACAATCAAACTTTTTGGTCATAGCATCTTGATTCATATGTCGCAGTTAATATACGAAACAGTTGAAATCAGAATCCTTTCCTTTCCCATTGAGTTCCGTCCCAGTTTTCACTGGGATGGACGTCTGTGTCTTCAGCAGGCGTAGAGCTAACAGAACTGGCAGCGTTGTGAGGCAAGGGCTCAAACATGTACGGCTGGAAGCCTTCTACACCAAACCAAGCTTCTGCCGCCCTCGCGTCCTCTTCCACAACATCTTCTTCTCCGCTTTCCTCCTCTAAATAAAAAATGTATGACAGCGGAGACTCATCCACGACCTCCAACACTAAACTCTCCTCCTCTTGCATGTTTCCTCTGTCCATAGCGTTCCTTGACAGTGTCGTTTCTAAGTCACTAATTTAGTGCTACTTGGTCCCAATGGAATTTCCCATTAGGAACCTACTAGCACTAAGTCGCTAACTAGTTAGCAAGATGCTTCAGAAAAACCGGCCACAATCAAACCTGCCCGTGAACCTTCCACCACAACGATCCCGCCCCTTAAAAATCAACCAATCACATTCACTTTATTCACTAATGTAAAGTTGTGCACCACTCTGGGGTGGTTAAATTTAATCGATTTTGAATCGATTCCTTTACATTTTTGCAAAATCGATGTCTAGGGAATGAGATCGATAAGTTTTATAGTGACAGGAAGCAGGAAAGATTTACTCACGATGACTTCAAGCCAGACAGCTGCAAATATAGCCAATAGGTCGACTGAAGACATGAGGCTGACCAGCAAACACCCTGTAGTTGCTACAGACAATGCTGCAAATATGGTTTGTGCAGGGAAGATAATGCAGCTCATGCATGTCTGCTGTGTCCCCGCTGTGTCACGTCTGCTCGCTCGAGTGAGGCTTCACTTTTTCACTTTTCACAAACAAGAAATAAGAAGAAATAAGAAATAAAATACATGAGTATTTTGAAACACAGTTGAACCACTTTCATTATTGTAAAAAGAGATCGAATTGAAATTTATCGATTTAGAACTGTATTAATCTATATCGAATCGATTCAGGACCTGGGGAAAATAACCAGCCCTATTCTCTACAACTTTAAAACCAATTCTTTTTTTCACCAGCTGAGATTATTTAATGTAAAGCATGCTTTGTTAAAGCAACCATCAGGTGTAAAAATGGGGGTTGGTCAAATCTAGACATGTGCTGTCCAATTTAAACCATTAAAGCTCTTTTTCTTTTTTGGGAAGAGGTAAGATAAATTCACCCTTTATTGCAGCAGAATAATTTTCAATAGAAGAATTCAGCGTAATTTAAGCCAAATTAATTTTAAAAAATTCCAGTGGAGAGCACATTTATTAGTATCATTAAAAATCGCTTTAAAATAATTAGAATTTCTCATGAATGATTCCTTCTTCAGTTCGTCTCTGGTGTATAAATAGGCCTGACACAGAGCCATCAGTCTGTATGCTGAATGAAGACCAGTATTTATTGACCTAGCAACCACACAGAATCTGAGGAGAACAAGTGATGAACATATATAGCTCTTAAGGCTGATTTATGCTCAGAAACCAGGTCGTCTGCAGGGAGGAGAGAAAGGAGGCATCTGATTGGTCAGATCTACATCCACTCTACACGATGCGTATTTCCTGTTTGTATGACGTATGTATGATGATGTATGATGTGTAGAACCACTCATGAAGTTGGACCAGCTAGAAGAGCGAGGTGTGCAAGAGCGCTGGGACCATTGTTCCACCTGGATCCCCGCTCTTTTTCGCCCTCATGTCCCTCCGTTGTCGCACAAACTTGCCCCTTGCATTTATCCACTTCCTCACCGCCTCTGCCATATCTAGACCTACAGCTAGTTCCTGATTGTCCCTCTTGCGTTGTGGCGTTGAATAACATAGCGCAGACCACGCTTAAATATTGGGCATAAATCAAAAATACCTGTGTCAAGCTCACTGCGACACACTGCTGCAGGAGCATAACCAGGCATTTAATATCTCTTAATAACAATTAGAAACAGAGTAAAACAGGAATGACCCAGTTGTGAGTGAGGAAAGGAAGGAAAAGCCTTTTCTTTCCTACTGTTATAAATGTAAACATCTACATTATGAACTAGGACTAACTGGAATGGTAACATTTGAACAGATCTGACTGGAAAGGAGGTTTTAAAAAACCAAACCTGCGGGTGGGTTTGGTTTGAACCAGGGAATGAATATGTAAATGAATAAATATGAATCTGTAATCCTCTGGTCCTGTTTTCTCTGAAGGCCAATGGATTAACATCCTGAACTCTTCCAAATGCCAGAATATTTTAGACCTAAAATGTGATCGACTCAGACACAGCGAAAAAAGGTTATTATTTGGTCTTTGAACAAATAATGATCCAAACGTACATTTAGATCAGCGCCGAAGCACAAAATCAGATTATTTTCCTTTTCCATCAGAGCCTTCAGAAAGCTTGATAATCTGAACAATCCCATCTTTCACGTATAGTGAAAAGAAGTGTAGATAAAAGATATAGTTTTAGATGTATTCTATAAATGTTCTTCTCAGTTATCCACATTTTTAGATAGTTAATTTATGTTTTTAATACATTTTAATATCTGTTTTATTAATATGCTTTATATTCTTTATTTTCTTTTCTGCAAAACCGTAATTACTTATTTACATTTTCATAACAATCTTCTGTGAAAAAAGCTTCACAACTTCATGAAGAAATAAAAGAAAAATGCTTCTTATTATGGAGGAGAATGAATAAGAATATGATGTCACTACAGGCAAAATGCTTTGCAAAATCTATAGTTTCCAGTTTTCCTTCTTGCAGCATGTTAGTGCTAAACAGAAAGGTGTTTCCTCCCTGGTTTACTGGAGGCTTCCTCTGTCCATGTTTCAGGTCCACATCACTCAGTATGCAGACTCCGTGGCCTGCCACCTGGCCAAGATCCTGGACTCAGACAAGCACAGCGACGTCATCTCCTCTGCCAAGTACGTGCCACGAATGCCTGCATTCAAAACGAAACAAGAACCCGATTGAACCCTAGAAACAAAGAGGAAACAGGTGAAAGAGGATAAAGATGCTTTAAATCCAGGGGCGGAGAAAGAAAAGGAACGATAACTAGAAAAAGAGTCCTCACAGGCGCTCAGCAGGAATCGATTTTCTGCTTTGGTCCTGTTTTAAGTGCAAACATGCACTTAAGAGTCCGAGTGTGTGCAGAAGTGGAAGGGAGGGAGAGGGATGAGCCATTATTTAGGGCTCATCCGAGTGCATTAGTTCACAGCAGTCAGTAAGAAAGAACTTCAGCTGCCATTACGGAGCACTTTTCTTCACCCTTCTGTTTGTTGCATTTAACCTGATGAGTTTAAGACATTAGATACCTTACTTAGGAAAGTACTCCAGTTTTCCGAGGGCGTTTAGTCAGTCGCAAAGTGATTTTAGCTGTGTTCAGAGTCTCATAAAAGCCTGTCAGGTGTTGATATTCACTTTACTGTAATAAATGAGGGAAGGTAAGGGAAAGCTGCTGTCAGTCTCTAATGGATGCCTTTGAACATTAACAAAGACCTTCTGCTGGCTAAAAGGGTTCACACTGATGAGGATGACGGACAAATTGGAGGAGAGAGCCTTAACTGCATTTAGTTTGAAGACCTTGATACATTTTAAAAGGCATTTGCTGCATATTTCACCCAGAAATTGAATATAAATAGCCACAAATCCAAAATCAGTTTAGGGAAAAGATGAAGCACTGGAGGCACAACTCGTTTCAGATGATCTAATGTTTACGGAGCGCATTGTGAGTTTGGAGAAAGCTCCCTGCTGAGTCACACTGCAGCAGCAGTAATGTACCAGATGTGAGTAAACAGTGACTGTGAGGAGGCGACGGAGCTGCCTGGTAGGTAGGCAGCAGCCGGTCGCCACCACCAGCATCATGACTCATCAAATCTTCAGCATGTCAATCATCCGCTCAGCGCTGAGCCCTAACCTTGATCTGATCTCTCCGCCTCCCTCACCTGTGTCGGCAGGTTTCTGTGTGGGACGGTGAACGATTTTGTGGCAGAGGTGGGGAAGGCGTACGAGAGAGCCACAGAGAACAAGGAGGAGGCAGATGCTATGGCCAAGAAGGTAAAATGTTTAATTATGTGTGTAGGTTATGTAAGCACTTGTATAACAGCAGGTGGTGGGCAGATGTAGGCGTGTGTGTTTGAAATGGAGGAGGAACAAAACACAGCAGCAGATCACGTCTTATTTATCGCTGCTTTGCAGTAGTTTTGTCACCCATCATGCTTTCCCTGAATTATTTACATATGCAATCTGCAGAAGAGCATATGTTTTATTGTTATATGTAAACTGTAAAATAGATCAAAACTGAGAAAAGCGGTTTTCACTGATTGCAAAATATAATAAAAGATGGTGAAGATCTTCAGTCATCCAGGTCATAGTCATTCCATAAAAAAACATTAAACGCAATCCACTGGACTTTTTTCCAAGTTTGAAGATGTTTCGCTTCCCATCCAAGACGCTTTTGCACCTTCATCTTTTAATGACAATCTGGTTCTGTATGCTAGCACAATTAGCTACTTCTTCTGTAAAAAGAAGCTAAATTATAAGTATTGTGTTTTTAGTTGAGATTTTTGTTGCTTTAGAAAACAATAAAGAAAATTAAAAGAAAATGCATATCTTATAAAAAAAAAGCACATTCACCACCTGAAATACTATTACAATATTTGTTTACATGTCTAATCATAAAAGCAACAAGTGCATTTTTTTTCCTAAAAGGAAAGGTCAGATTAAAGTCCTTCCTGTGTTTTCTATCCATGAAGTAACTTTTTTATTTTTCTTCACTTCCTCTTTTGCAAATTAGTTTCTCTTTTAAATGTGATTCCAGTGGACTTTATGTTACTGGTTTTGGACTTTATTGAACATGATATCCAAAGATGAGATAAGGATGAAACGATTTGATATTGATGTCACTAAAAAGAAAGAAATCGGAATAGATCGGCCTTCAACTAAAATCTCTTGATATTAGCATCCTGATAGAAAACTGCATTGCACTGCATCTGTATTGGTCAGTATCTCAGGGCTGCAATATTCAATATGGTATCAGAAATAAAAAATGCTATAACATTTCCATGAATAATTATATGTTTGCATTTGTTTTGAACAAAAAAAATATATTTATGTGCTGAAGGGACGAGAAAAAATACAGTTTTACATTCTCATCATATGGCTGATCAGACAAAGCAGTGAAGAACCAATTTAATGCGCCCAGATGAGAAGAAAACAAAACATGTTTATTAATAAAACTCTAGCTAATCAAAAACAAGCATAACTTAAAAAAAGGAGGATTTAATTTATAGCAAAAAGATTATTAATGATTGGATAAGAATTAAATGATGTAGATCAGGGCGCGCTTCGGTGGAGCAGTGGTTAACGCACACAGCCCATGTATGGAGGCCTTAATCGCTGACCTGGGTTGGAATCTGACCTCTGGTCCTTTGCCGCATATCTCTCCCGCTCGCTCATGCCCCCTCTCCTGTCAGCCTACTGTTGAAAAAACGAGCTACTAGTGCAGCAAAAACTCAAAAAAAATAAAATAAAATTATAATTTAAAGTAGATTAAGATTATAATGAGGTAGGCAGTGTTGCAGTTTCTAGTTCTTCTTTTTTTCTATCTTGTGTTGCTCTGGTGATTTATTTTTTTGCAGAAAAGTGGCATTTTTTCTATTAACAGTGTCTGAAAATAGGTTTGATTTCAGGCTTGTTTTTACCCTATATTTTTAGCCAGAATATGCATTTAAAAATTTAATACATCAATGAGGTGTGCTCTAAACCCCCAAATCTACTTTATTCTCTCTATGTGTAATTCTATAGTAATCTTGGACGTGAGTGTTAGTAGAAATCTGCCTGATCTTCTCCTCTCTGTTTATGTCCTCTCCCAGTGCGCACTGCTGAACGAGAAACTGGATTCGCTGGTAAAGGCCTTAAGCGAGGAAGCAGAAGCTCAGGTAGAACAAGCACCAGAAACACATGTTGCAATGAAATAAAGTAGGACTGTTTTCATTTACACAGAAGGTTTACTGCCCTAACCCTTCAAAATGATCACATCACTTGGATTTTATTTTGATTTTTTCCAATTTAAACTAAGAAACCTCTGCAGTTTATTGGGATTTTATGCCACAGGCTAAAACCAATTAGAGAAAAAAAACTCAGCAACTCTTTTCCCCTTTTAATAACAGAAAGTCTGCAGGATGCATGTGTGGATAGCCCTCCAATACTAAGAAATTCCCCTTGCCTTTTCTTCTTTAAAAGCTTAAATTCATATCATCCTAGAATATCATCCCAGAATAGCTTTGTTAAACTTTTGCCTTTGACACACATGAAGTAACTTTGATCTGAACCACTCAGGTGGAGCATGGAGCATTTGTATTAAAGCTGAATTGAAAGAAATATATACTTTATTTATATAATGAGGCAATTTCTAAGGGGAACTGGTAACACTGGATTTTATTCACGTGCATCCAAGTAAATACATTTGAATTCAGTCCTAATTAAATAAAAATCCAAGTCTGTGGTCATAATGTGACAATAAGTACTGCAAACTAAATAAACAATTCTATTCAGTTTATTTATATAGCGTCAATTCACAACATGTCATCTCAAGGCACTTAACAGTTCACCAGATCATACAGTTAAATTGATTTTCTGTCCAAGGTAAACCAGTTGATTCCATTGACTCGTTGACTCTGAGGCAACCCCGCACACTTAGCATGCTTGTAGCGACAGTGGAGAGGAAAAACTCCCTTTTAACAGGAAGAAACCTCCAGCAGAACCAGGCTCAGTGTGAGCGGCCATCTGCNCCCGTCCAGGAAACACACAGCCAGGCAGACGAGCTCCAAGACAGCTCCCATGTCAGAGGATGAAGAGAGCACATCCAGCCAGTCATCGTCAGAGAAACAGGACCACACTGAAAAACAGGCCGATCTCCAACATCTATAAACAAGGTTGTTGATGGAAGCAGCACAGCTGATGTTTCTCTCCAGGATGACGTCACAGCCAAACAGGAACAGACGAGGCGAAGCTACTCTGAGGAAAAGCAGAGAGAGCATAACGTTAGAGATTGAACTAATAGATACTGCAGAGTGGGAGAATAGAGACAGAATGAAGCAGAATGATGAAATAGGGATCCCTATGTCCTCAAGAAGTCTAAGCCTATAGCAGCATAACTATAGAGATAGTTCAGGATAACTTGAGCCACTCTTAGTATGTGTTTCCTTATGGAACCTAAACATCAAAACACATGATGCTACTTTATCCTAAATAGATTAAGCCCTCACATATCAGCAGGATTTCCAACTCCTGCTCTGCAAATTCAGAAATGCAGGAGAGTTCAGACCGTGATCCTGCAGCTGATCTAACACTAAATGGTTTCAAAGGCACACAGTTTCAAATAAGGAGGTATTCTGTGGTTCTACATGTGCTTATAAAATCAAACACTGACTTCTCTGCTTTTATCCAGGTGGTGCCTGCAGGTTCAGCACCCAGCCAGGAGAGCGGCAGCTCCAGCCCTGGCGAAAGTGGAGGAGAGTCAGGCTCAGAAGGCAAAACGTACCGATCCAAAGAGCAGCTGATGCTCCGAGCCAACAGCCTGAAGAAAGCCCTGAGGCAGATCATCGAACAGGCGGAGAAAGGTAACAGCAGCCAGACCGCTGCTTTAATTTCTACAGTTTGAGGTGCTCACTGACCCAACGTCATGGTTTCAGTGGTGGATGAGCAGAACAAACACACGCAGGTCCAGAGGATGCCATCTTCGTCATCCATCAAGAGGGAGAACAGTGAGGAGCTGAAGGATGCTGAGCAACGTAAGTCATATTTTAATCTCAGTGAGGTGAATGCATTAGTCCTGAGATAATCTGCCTGATAAAACATGATGATTCTGTCCAGGGGGGCTGAGTCCCACCTCACCCATCGTCCTGGAGAAGCCAGAGAGCCTTAATACGGTCACCTTCAGCGAGGATACTGTGTAAGTGGGTTTGCTTTGACTGTCAGACCACAACCAGAAGCTTCACCTTTAATGGGACTTTAAATGAGTGAACCAGAACCAAAATTAAGCATAACTGGGCTGGGTATCAATCAAACATTTAGATACCGGTACCAATACCGATATCGTCCCTTCAATATCGGTGCCTGATCGGTACTTTTTTCAATACCAGTTTTATAATATCAATTCTAATAAAAAGAAAATTATATTAAAGAATCCTGACTTTTATTTTAAACTCAGATTATTCAATTCCAAGCACTCTTCTTACATAAAGATTATTTTCAGTGCAAAAGAAATGTTGCAAACATTGGGTGGTTATGCTTACTTTTAGATATTGAGGACCTTTTAACTTAGCAGTTTAAATTAAAAAAGATAAACGTGTCTGTTCTCTCAGCAATCCCGCTCTGAGGGTGTGGATGACGCTTGCACGCAGAGATACCTGGTTGCTGAGTTTATGCACCTATTAAGTTGAAGTAACGCTAACAAACGTAGACTTCCCTGTTGAAGACGAGTCCGGTGGTAGAGATTTTAAATCACTCCGCTCCGGTTTTTGTACCGCACACAGGCTGCTAAGTGGAGGATGGCTCTGCTAGCTGCGGTCAGCCCTTCTTGCAGTCAAACACTGCAAGTTTCCACTCTTAAATTATCCCGTGCACCATTAGGCGCTTCATATAGTTGCCAGCCTTAGCAAAAATGTCTGCATGTATGTTTGCGCACTATTCGCATCAATCTGCAATATATATAAATATTTCTAAAAAAAATAATAACTAGAAAAAGCTGTTTCGCAGAAACAGCAAAGTGGGAATGCTTTTTTTGCT